GAGAACAATAGCAGTTATCTCAGAGGAAAACAGTGAAGTAGGGCTGGGTGTGGAGTCTACAGAACAGTGCCAGCACCTGGGGGCAGAGGCAGAAAGGTCAGAGATGCTCAAAGACAGCCAGCATCCTCATCCAGTCCTTACTTAAAGAAAAAAGTTAATATCTAAGTCAAGAATTGTTCATAAGTGAACACATTTCACAGTCAATCAAAGTATAGGAGGACATTAGAAAATGAACTATAGAGTTGGGGGTGGTGGCACACGCCTTTAATCCCGGAACTCAGAAGGCAGAGGCAGACTGATCTCTGCGAGTTCGAAGCTAGCCTGGTCTAGAGTGAGGACAGCTAATGCTGTAATGTAAAATAGAAAAACCCTGTCTCAAGAAAGGAGAGAGAAAGAGAGAGAGAGAGAGAGAGAGAGAGAAAGAATAAACCCACTTTTAGAGAAAAAAATTTATTTTAAAATTGTTTCCTCAAACAACTGAAAAACAATTTAACCTTACGAGATCAAGAATAAAAAATCAGTTTAAACATTTATTCAACATATAATTTGAAACTGGATGAAATATAAAACAATAACAGTACCTCTGAAAGATATAACACAAAGCAAAATATAGAAGAAAACGAATTTGAATCCCAGATTGTATTAAACTTCCCAATCCTCTAAAGGAAGACCAGCGCACACACGTGCGGTTCCCTCAGCTCTAAAGGAAGACCAGCGCACACAAGTGCAGTTCCCTCAGCTCTAAAGGAAGACCAGCGCACACAAGTACAGTTCACTCAGCTCTAAAGGAAGACCAGCGCACACATGTGCAGTTCCCTCGGCTCTAAAGGAAGACCAGCGCACACACGTGCAGTTCCCTCGGCTCTAAAGGAAGACCAGCGCACACAAGTACAGTTCACTCAGCTCTAAAGGAAGACCAGCGCACACATGTGCAGTTCACTCAGCTCTAAAGGAAGACTAGTGCACACACGTGCAGTTCCCTCGGCTCTAAAGGAAGACCAGCGCACACAAGTGCAGTTCCCTCGGCTCTAAAGGAAGACCAGCGCACACACGTGCAGTTCACTCAGCTCTAAAGGAAGACCAGCGCACACACGTGCAGTTCACTCAGCTCTAAAGGAAGACCAGCGCACACACATGCAGTTCACTCTGCGAAAGACAAAAGCTGAGCGAGTGTGGCCATCAGCTGAGGTGCCTCTGAGGCAGGTTGTCAGGAAGCTGGGGAAGGGCAGTAAGAAGGGACCTGTACTGGGCTGGGGCAGAGCTCAGCTTGTAGAGCGCTTTGCTTACACCATACTACATAGCAAGTCTGAGGGTAGCCGAGGGGACACGAGTCCCTGTATCAAAAAGTGTAGCACAGGCATTGAGACCAACAATTGAGAAATGGGACCTCATGAAGCTAAAATGTTTCTGTACAGCGAAGAGGCAGTCTACAGAATGGGAAACAAGCCTTTACCAGCTATACATCTAACAGAGGGTTAATGTCCAGTATATACAAAGATTTCAAAAGCTAAACACCAAATGGGAGGTTTGTACCTAACTTACAACTGGGGCATGTAATTAAACACAATTTTCAAAAGAAGAAATACAAATGGCTGAGAAATATTTTAAACATCCTTGACCATAAGAGAAATATAAATTTAAACTATTTTGATATTTCATCCTACCCAAGTTACAATAGCTAAGATAGAGAAAAAAAAAAAAGACAACTGAGGGAAAAGGTGAGAGAGAAAGCTGGTGTAGCCATTGTGAAATAAGTGTAGCGGTTCTTCAAAAAGCTAGAGATAGATCTACCATATGATCCAGCTGAATCACCTCCAGAACTAGTCCCAAAGGACTCTATACCCTACTACTGAAATACTTGATTGTTCATTGCCGCTCTTTCATAATAGTCACAAAATGGAGAGAGCACAGACGTCCGTCAACTGAGGAACGGATAATGGAAATGTGGTATATTTACACAATGGATTATTATTCATTTGTAAAAAACTATGAAATTGTAAAATCTGCACGTAAATGGATGGAACTATCAATAACCATCCTGAATGAGGTAACAGACCTAGAAACACGAACACTGCAAGTTCAGCTCTTTCTCTTGTATGGATGCTGGGAACATTCAGATGCGTGTGCCTAAATCAGCGTACCCACACAAGTCAGGAAACCAGTAAGCAGCCATGGGAGAAGACATCAAGGAAAAGAGGACAGAACGCAGGAAGCATGAAGAGGGAAAAGGAATGTGGGAACAGAAGGGTTAATGTGGTGAGAGAGGAAGAGCAGAGTGGAGAAGGGACAGGAAGGATGGGGGACAAAAAAACACCTGTGAAAACGCCACTGAAACCTACTACTGCAGGATCTCCATATGTAGGTATGTATGTATGTATATTGTACATGTATGTGAAATATGTATCTTATACAAGAGGTTTAGAGGAAGTTACCCTAAAACAGGGAACATTACTCCTCCCAGACACCACAGACTATCAAATAAAAAGTGCACTGCTAGAATGGGTTCTCTCTCTTTGAGCTGTCAGTGGAGTCCCACAGATTCCCCTTAACAGAGCAGGCGATTGTTATTAATCTCAGTTACCTTCCAGAACTTTATGGTAAGGCCATGTTGCTGAAGATATTATATACCTGAGTCATAGAGCATGGCAAAACCAAGCTGGTACTGGTCTGGAAGGTTCATTCCTGCTGGCTAGCTTTCAGTGCTGGAGGGTATGAAGCCTGTGAGCTACTGCAGTCCAGCTGTGACATGGAAGGATGCTCACCGCTGCTGCTGCAGTCCAGCTGTGACATGGAAGGATGCTCACCGCTGCTGCTGCAGTCCAGCTGTGACATGGAAGGATGCTCACCGCTGCTACTGCAGTCCAGCTGTGACATGGAAGGATGCTCACAGCTGCTACTGCAGTCCAGCTGTGACATGGAAGGATGCTCACCGCTGCTACTGCAGTCCAGCTGTGACATGGAAGGATGTTCATGGCTGTAAGAGTGTCATAAATGTTGTAGGAGCAACTAAAAACTTCCTGACTGGATTTCAAACCTGCTCCACAAAATGGAACCCATGCCTAATACCTTTAACTGGTATAAAAACCCAAGACGGCTGTCATGGGTCCTATGGAAGAATCTAGTGCTATCATTCTGCTAAACAGCAATACACTGCTCCTAAGCAGTTATCTCTGTGCCCATAGACCAATGCATTTGCCAACCCTCCCAGAGAAGCATCTTTTTATAGTGCAGAGACTTCCAACCAGTTGGTGTGCACAGAATAAGAAATGGGACATCGTTCCACAGCCCCTCTTTCAAGGCTCAGGGGTCTTCTTGGAAGAAGTCAAGGACAGATTGCAGAGCCAGAAAAATGGATGTCTGCAGCAAAGCAGTATTTGCTGAACACGTCAGTGCTGCGTACAGAAACTCATAGCACCTGACAAAACCTGGACCAAGTCAGTCAAAATCCCCAGCACAGATCAGGGAGGAGCAAATGGAGTCCCACCCCTAGCTGAGGAGGTTCTGGGAACTGATGGCTGCTGGGAGAGGGATGCAGCTCCCGAGTGGCTGTCCATGCTCCAGTGGATGGTCCCACACCCATACACACACCGTAGCTCTAAACAGATACAATGGGAGGGAAAAGCGGGGTGGGAAAAAATTGGATGTAAGGGATGAGGGAATGAACTTGATCAAAATACATGTTGCATGTATAAAAATCTCCAATAATTTAAAGAAATGGTATATGCATGGACAAAGGCTGTCTCAAACCGACTGCAATGAAAAGGTCAACCCCACCCCAGATTTTTAAAAAGCAAAATGAGACTTTTATGTCCTTTGTTCATTTGTAAGTATATTATCTAAAGGTTCTACATTAAAAAAATTATTTAACTCAAGAATCTGGTACATATGCAACAAGTCTAACCAATGGTGAAGCAGATGCCTCAAATCAGAACGGATAAATTCAGCAACCCTGAGCCTCTCCGTGTAGAAAACAGGTAATGGTTTAGATGATCAAACTAAAGAAGGACCCTTGCCTTCCCCACGGGCACCATTTCATAGGTCGCAGGACACTAGTTAAGGTGGCATGACCTGGAAAGTACTGTGGGTCACATGACACAGCCTCGACCTGTCCCAGTTCACACCCACCACCATTCATTTATCCAGTCACCTCCTTGGGAACCTAATACAACCGTATTGATAACAGGAAAACAATCTGGTGATCAAACTACCCACCAATGCGAGAGTCAGGCAGATTCTGATGCGCTCAGACAATAAAAGCTGCTGATGTTTGGAATTGTTTCTAAAGTGCATGGCAACCTGAAATACTCAGTGTAGTGTTAGCAAAAAAAGCAGATGGCGCTGCACGCGTAGTCACAATTTAGCGCCTCTTGACACACGTGGCTCTTAGGGACAGGGGTGGCGCAGGGTGGGAAACAATGTAGGAGGAGTCATTCTTCCAAATTATTTCACTTTGGTTTTTGAGTACTGTTTCCTGGCATCGGCGTGCTGAAGACATCAAATGGACAGTGGTGACAGAACAAGCGAGCGCCATGCAAGAAACCCAGGTGATGGGGTGACTCTCACCACCATCTCTGACACACCCTGGGTTCAGGTTTCCAAGCCCAGCAAGTTGGCTAGCCTGAGTACTGCCTCTCAGAAAAACAGGCAACCGCATATAGATACCACGTCCAAAGCACACACAGCTCGACTCTAATGTGTTTCCACGGCCATGCTTGCTGCTCCATGAAGTCTTCAACCAAGACCACCCACTTTGGTCCACAAACCACCAGGTAAGGATGACTCTGGAATCAACTATGAATTGGTAATGTTGGCATAGACAGTCTGGAACCCCATGCCCAGACTCCCAAGTGGCCCTCCCCCGCAAGCCTGTGCTTCGTCTGACAGGGTTTTGTTCCAATCTCACTAGGAAAGCTGCTCCCTCAGAGGCTATAGCACAGTTGATGGGTCCCTGGGTCCAGTGTGTGCGTCACACCCAAATAGACAGAACACATGTACAGTACCTTCTCGAAGTGGTGTGGGCTTAGCAGAATTTTCCCCACTCATTAAAACAACAAAAGATGCAGCTGCTCGAACTGTAGCCTGCCATGTTGACATGGCAACCGGTGGTTCCTGGCATGGAAAAAGGGCCCTGTTGTTGATGGGGGATCCCATAGTATAAACACATGGCCTGTAGAGGAAAGACAAAGACAGAGAAGGAAGAATCTTTAAAATGAGTTGTCATTTATCTCACCACCATGGCAGGAAGGTCACGTTGAGCTTTCCAAGAAGAAACACAGGAGGCTTTAGAGCTGACTGTAAGCACATTGAAACGGAACATGCCAAGGGCCAGCTATGTCAATAGCTCAGTGGTTATTCCTCCCAAATGAATCAAATATGTGAAAATGTGTGCTTGTTGGGGGTGGTGTAGTGTGTGTGTTTTAAGAAAAAAAATCTGGATAAGGTTTTAAATACTATTCTGCAAAGTTGTAATTTATGCTCCCCTTAGGCATTTCTGCCTTCAAAGGAAAAAAGCTTCAGAGACATTCTTACTGACTTTTTGGAAAGTATTCTGGAAAAGAAAACATGGCTGGAGATCTCTGTGATTATTAATCTTGGAAAAACAAGCGGTGGTCTCAAAGCCAGTGTTGGCAAGCAGACCCACCCTCCCAGTCCTGGAAACCGCCTTCTCAGATGGAGCCCTTGTGGGATCCTTGTGTGGAAGCCAAGAACAGGGCTTGGCACAAACAGGATGGCAGAGGTCACAGCAGCCAGGCTTGGAAGACTGTAGTAATAAGCTCATTAGCAAAGCAAGGTATGAAATCAACAGCAAGAGCTAGGACTCGGTCACTCCAAGTATAAACCCTCCCAAACCAAGCAGAATTCCTTTCCATGATTAAATCACAGTTGACAGAGATGGCAAAGACCTGCAAAACCAGAGTAATCCATTCTTACATCAGAGAAGGCACACCACTGACTCTCAGGAAAACAACTGAGGAAAAGAATGAGACTCTGGTTTTGGAGTTATGACAAATGTCAATTAATCAGCTTAAATTACAATGTAAATGAATCAGCTACTAGTTCTTGTAGAGAAACCACTTTCATTAACGTCATTATGATTGAACATTAATCTGTCCGTACGATATATTAAAGACCATGCAGGATGATGGTTTTCCTCTATCATCCAAGCCCAATAAATAAAGAGAAGACAGGGCAGGCTCTAGTAAGTAGAGAGAACTTAATACAGAGAACTGTGACACAGTGGTAGAGTGGAGAAATTAAGCAGGGACGAGCAAGGCAAGCCAGGAGCTGTATTCATGGAGCAGACACGGAAGGTGAGCTATCTATCCCCAACGTGCTTGCTCTTCACCTCAAGGAGCACAGAACTGAAAACTCAGAAAACAGCACATTCTCTGCTGACCACTGTGCAGAAAGGACTTTTCAGGAGAGAGCAGATTTCTTGTTTGGAAGGTTCCAAGCTTGCCTCTTCCCATCAAATTAATCGTAGTCAGAGGCTTTGATCAGCAACTAGAAAGCTGACTACAGAAGTAGGGAGACAGGAGCCTGAAAGGGTCAGGTCTGCTGGGCGGCTTGAGGGACCTTTGGAAAATGGGGCAAATGGCCGGCCTGAGGCCACAGACACAGGAGCTAAGCCAGAACTATCCAGAAGTCTCTGACGGTTACAAAGTGTCCAGGTTTCCAGTTTATTTCCATTTATTATTGTATCTAATACTTTTACAACCTTGTGTTTCAACAAAACTGTGATACAGACTCTGCTACAGTGGGCAAACCTCCTGCTTGGAATTTCTGTCAACGATCGCCTCCTCACCCCTTCTCTCTAATTCCACTTCGGGATACCATTACCAAACCCAGGACTGATCACTGTCATCTAGATGGCAAGTCTAAAGGCCACTGTTGCTCTGAAATGGACAGGACTTTCTCAAGAGAGGCATTTTCCATGTAAGATGGTTAAGCTCCCTGCAAGGGCAAAGGCATGGCCTTCGGAGGCCACTCCTGGGGTCAGGTAGGAATGCAATTACCCTCTCATGGACTCTTCTCATGTTACACATAAAGAAATTAGGTTCTGGTTATAAATGACTCTGCTACAGTTGCTTGGCTTGTTGGCAGCATGGCTGCATCCAAGACTCTGAGAGGCCTGGGCTCTTGTCTTTCAATTTTACAATATACTATACTAATTCTGCGTACTGTTATTTGTTATTTTCCACTGATACTCGATTTCTTTTTTTAGGCCAAGCTTGGGGAATCCTTCTGAAGAGAGGGAGGATATATGAGCCAGAGAGGTCAAGGACATCACAAGAGAACCCACAGAATCAACTAACCTGAGTTCATAGGAGCTCACAGAGTTTGAATCGAAAACCAGAGAGTGTGCATGATCTAACCTTGGCTGTCTACAAATATGTGACAGTTGCATAGCTTGGTATACTTGTGGAAGCCTAACAGTGGGAACAGAGGCTGTCCCTAATGCTGTGGGGCTAACTTTTGGGACTCTATTCCTCACACTGGGTTGCCCTGCCCAGCCTTAATACAAGGAGAGTGTTTAGACCTACAGCAACTTAATACACCATGTTTTGTTGATCCATGGGAGGCCTGGCCCTTTCTGAACAGAAACTAAAGAGGAGTGGGTTGGGGGGAAGAGGGAAGGGAGAAGGGGGAAAGGGAAGAGAAGAGAGGAGAGGAAACTGTGGTCATGTTGTAAAATAAATAAATTTAATTAATAAAAAAAATAGTTTTAGCCAGGTGTGATGGTACATGCTTCAATCCAAGCATTTGAGAGACCCCCTTCTCAAAAACAAAGCTTTTTTTGTTTGTTTTTTAATTTTATGGTCTTTTGAGGCAGGATTACTTCCCTATGACTCGGGATGGCCTTGAATTTACAGAGACCAGCCTGACTCTCCCTTCCTTGTGTTAGAATTAAAGGTGTGTGCCACCACATCTGACACAAATTTCTCTTAAGAAGCAAAGGACATTATCAACCTCGTAAAAAGGGAGTCTAGAGATTGGAAAAAGTATTTATCAGCTATACATCTGACAGAGGATATCTGCAATGTAAAAAAACAAAACAAAACAAAACAAAACTAAAACCAGATAAACAAAATGGCTGGACCTTAGCCCTGGCTATTCCTGAAGAGGTTCCCAGCAGGAGGGCCTAGCTCTCTGGACCCTAGCTCCCAGGCACACCCCATGCCCCACCCCCAGCCACCAAACCCCACAGACCTCAAATCATCCTCCCACTACCTGCAAACATCCCCCACTGCACCTGGAGAGGAGCCCCCAGAGCCTCAGTAATGACTATCAGAGGCAAGGCCCTGCCTGCACCTGGAAGAAGAGTGACCACCTAAGCAAAGGCACCCCTTGGAGGAAGAGATGGGAAGGTGCCAATGCAAGAATGCATTCAACAACCCAAAGAGCAAAATGGCAACACCTGAAACTAGTGGTCCTAGCCCAGAAGAAGCAGAAGAAAATATCCTTAAATATAACTTTCTGAAGATGATAGAGACCATTAAAGAGAAAATAAAAATTTCATAAAGAAAATTTTATTTTGGAGAAAAAGTCAAAAAATTGGGAGAAATCAATAAATCTCTTAAAGAAAGCTAAAAAAAAAAAAACCAAACAGGTGAAATAAACAGTTCAAGACTTGAAAATTGAAATAAAGTCAGTAAAGAAAACACAAACTGAGGGAAATCTGGAAATAGAAAATCTAGGTAATGAACAGAAACTACAGATGGCAAGCATCACCAACAGAATACAAGAAATGAAAGAGAGAATTTCAGGAGTTGAGGATATGGTAAAGGAAATAGATTCATTGGTCAAAGAAAATGTTAAATACAACAACTCCTTAACACAAAACATCCAGGAAATCTGGAAGACCATGAAAATAATAATAGGGATAGAAGGAGGAGTCTGGCTCAAAGGCGGAGAAAATATATTCAACAAAATAATAGAAGAAAACTTTCCAAACCTGAAGGAGGATATGCCTATGAAGGTACAAGAAGCTTACAGAACACCAAATAGACTGGACTGGAAAAAAATTGCCATATAATAATTAAAATAATAAGCATACATAATAAAGAAAGAATATTAAGAGCTGCAAAGGAAAAAGGCCAAGTAACATATAAAGGCAAACCTATCAGAATTACATCTGACTTTTCAATGGAAACCATGAAAGCCAGAAGGTCCTGGATAAATGTGCTGCAGACACTAAGAGACCATGGATGTAAACCCAGACTACTATATCCAGCAAAGCTTTCAATCACCATCAATGGAGAAAACAAGATGTTCCATGATAAAACCAGGTTTAAACAATACCTATCAACAAACTCAGTCTTACAGAAAGTACTAGAAGGAAAAATCCAACTAAAGGAAACTAGCTGCACCCACAAAAGCACAGACAACAACCTCACACCAGCAAATGCCAAAGCGAAACACACAAATACTACCATCAAAAATTAACAGGGATTAACAATCACTCGTCATTAATATCTCTTAATATCAATGGACTCAATTCACCTATAAAATGACACGGTCTAAGAGAATGGATATGAAAACAGTATCCATCCTGCTACATACAAGAAACACACCTCAACCTCAAAGACAGACAACATCTCAGAGTAAAGGGGTGGGAAAAGATTTCCCAACCAAATGGACCTAAAAAACAAGCAGGTATAGATATCCTAGTAGCTAACAAAATAAAATTCAAACAGAGAAGGACACTTCATACTCATCACAGAAAAAATCCATCCAGATTAAGTCTCAATCCTGAACATCTATGTCCCAAATACAAGAGCACCCACATATTTAAAAGAAACATTACTAAAGCTTAAATCACATATCAAATCCCACACACTGATAGGAGAATACTTGAACATCCCCCTCTCCGCAATGGACAGGTCAACCAGACAGAAACTTAACAGAGAAATAAGAGAACTAACAGATGGCATGACTCAAATGGTCTTAACAGACATCTATAGAACATTTCCCCCAAATACAAAAGAATATACCTTCTTCTCAGCATTTCATGGAAACTTCTCTAAAAGTGACCACATACTTGGTAACAAAGCAAACCTCCACAGATACAAAAATTTGGAATAACCCCCAGTATCTTATCGGATCACCATGGCTTAAAGTTAGAATTCAACAAGACTTGTTGCAGAAGGTCTACAATCTCATGGAAATTGAACAGTGCTCAACTGAATAACCCTTGGGCCAAGGAGAAAATAAAGAAAGAAATTAAAGACTTCCTAGAATTCAACAAAAATGAAGAAACAAGTACCCAAAACCATGGACCCTATGAAAGCGGTGCTAAGAGGAAAGTTCATAGCACTGAGTGCCCACATAAAGACAGTGGAGAAAGCTCACACTAGTGACTTAGCAGCACACCTGAAAGCTCTAGAACAAAAAGAAGCAGGCTCACCCAGCAGGAGTAGATGATAGGAAATAATCAAATTGAGGGCTGAAAAATCAATAAAATAGAAAAAGAAAACAATAGAAAGAATCAATGAAACAAAGAGCTGGTTCTTTGAGAAAAAACAAGATAGACAAACCCTTATCCAAATTAATCAAAAGGCAGAGTGAGAACATCCACCACAAAATCAGAAACGAAAAGGGGAACATTACAACAAACACATAGGAAATCCAGAAAAATCATTATATCATACTTTAAAAATCTGTACTCCACAAAATTGGGAAATGTAAAAGAAATGGACAATTTTCTGGATAGGTACCACATACCAAAATTGAATCAAGACCAAATAAACAAAAGCCTCCCAACCAAAAAAAGCCCAGGGGCCCGGTAGTTTCAGCACAGAATTCTACCAGAATTTCAAAGAAGAACTAATACCTGTACTTTTCAAATTGTTCCACACAATAGAAACAGAAGGGACATTGCCAAACTCTTCATGAGGCTACAGTTACCCTCATACTGAAACCACACAAATACTCAACCAAGAAAGAGAATTACAAACCAATCTCCCTCATGAACATTGATGCAAAAATACTCAATAAAATGTCGGCAAACTGAATCCAAGAACACATTAAAAAAATCATCCATCATGATCAAGTAAGTAGGCTTCATCCCAGAGATGCAGGGATGGTTCAACATATGAAAATCTATCAATGTAATCTACCATATAAACAAACTGAAAGAAAAAAAACACATGATACTCTCATTGGATACTGAAAAAGCATTCAACAAAATACAACACCCCTTCATGATAAGAGTCCTGGAGAGATCAGGGATACAAGGAACGTGTCTAAACATAATAAATGCAATATACAGCAAGCTGACAGCCAACATCAAATTAAATGGAGAGAAACTCAAAGCACGGCACAAATGCACACATGTGTACAAAGGAAAACAAAAAGCAAAGTTAGGTCCACATTCTCCAGGGAGGTAGCTTCACGTATCGTTACATCTCACTTTCCTTCCTGGGATGGTGTGTCATCCCAAATGGTTATTATCAACCAAAGTGACTGCAGCTCTAGACTTTACCATGTGAAGCGGGGAGAAACACTAGCCGCTGATGGAACCTGGGCGGGGCCTCTCCAGAAATGTCTGACACTGTACCCAGCCCTGTCTGTGAAGGATAACAAAATGCACCCCATGCTGGCCTGGCAGTCTGTGGTAAACAGGAGGGCGAGTACTCTGACATGATCACGACAGAATTTTCATCAATATGGATGCCAAACCTACTTATACTACTGTGGAAGGCTCTTGCTCACCCCATCATATCAAGGCCCACATCACTGAGGAAATACATTTTGTCCCTAACCTAGAATCTCAGCCAACAGAAAGTTCTTAGTTTCTAGACAGTCACCTGGATGCATTTAGGTTTGTTTATATACTTGATTTGAATCAGGGTCACATTTTGTGGCCCAATCTAACCTTAAACTTTTATAATCCTCCTGTCTTCACCCCATGCATGCCTCTGGGATTGCAGACATGAAGCCACCACACTTAGAATCTTAGGCACATGGAAGAGTTTCATGAGATGTGTGGCTATCCATGGAAGGGTATCTTGACTCTAATCAAAGTCTCAAAAAGTTTCACCCCTAAAAGGAAAGTGAGGGAAAGAGCAGCTTTCTGGGATTTTCTTCTAAAATCAACACTGTATCCTCTTATGACTCCACGAATCACGCAGACTAAAACATGGTATAAGGGCTTCCATCACAACCATGTATCTTACTGAGTCACACCAAATTCTATGTCAACCTTCCTCCAGGGTAACCAAGACTTCTGCACATAATGGATTCAAGTCTGTCTTAGCAGTTAGTATTTAAGATAGAAGGTCATGTTTGAGGTCATTAACATACTTCCAACTGTCAGTGGTTTCTTCTTTCCCACTATTTTAGTTCAAAAGTAAAGCATCTGGGAGTATAAAAACTACCAATCCCTACTTAAATATTTAATAGTATTATATGGTTAACCTTGGTGAAAATCTTCAGTAATTCCAAAAACTTGGAAGCCACAATAAGAAGTTGCTCCTTCACAATCTCCACCAAAAGCCCAGTAAGATAATGACAAATAATTGCTATGCTTTTGTATTCATGGAACTCTGTGCCAACCCTGCAATTCTTCCCAAAGCCTTCCTCAAACTCTCAGAGACTTGAGGCGGAAAGTAATCTCCCACTGAGCCACCTGGAAACCACAGCAAGAGGGAAGATAGTGAGCAAGGGACAGGCTAATTAGAGCTCAATGTCAAAGTGGCACTTTCAGAGCAAATCTTAACGGGTTTGAGGAGTAGGGTGAGGAAGAAGAGATGCAAGGAATTGCCAGAGACCACCACTTCCACCAAAGAGGCCAACGTTGAGAGAATCCTCTCAAGAGTAGCTAACAGATGAGTGAACCTCTATCCACCTCTTCAGTGATTCGTCAGGCTGACTCGCACAACCAACAAAGTTTGATTTAGAAATTCTCAGATTCTAAAAAGTCAGTAAGACAAGGCCGAGGGGATTCTTTGACTTCCCTGACTGGAAGAATCAGGTATCTTTTACTCCCAGAAACCAAGAGCCACACCCTAAGAAATCGGTTTGCAGTTCAACAGGTCTGACCACTTTAATCCCCAGAAGCAGCTCTCTAGCGCACTGGAGGTTCACATGCAGTGACAACCGGCCAAGTCCAGCAAAAGTCACAGCATGGCTGGCCTAGCTTCACACCCATCCAGTCTCAGAGCAGATCTCAGGATACTTTGAGAAAGCACTTGCTCAGAGATGCACCACTCCAAAGGCAGCCTTAGAAGTCACCACCAGTGATCCCAACCAACAGCCAGGCTCAGCACTTCACAGCAGCAAGCTAACATTTCAAGCTCCTAACTCAGCAATGTTGGAACTGAATCAAGGGATCTTTTCATCCTAATTTACAGGAGGTGATCTTGAAAACAGTTCAGCATACTGCAGGATTTACCTGCTGCATGGTGCTGAGTCTGTCTGGGTAAGGCTACAGGACAAGCAGAAACACCCCCATAGACTCAGTCTCTTCTTAGAGAGCAACCCTGAAGTGTAAGAGATTAGGGGCAGGAAGCACTGGATGACCTACCTGCCATCCTGGTCTGAGGTCCAAGTCACTGACTGCCCCTCAGGTTTAGTTTTGTACCATATCCTGATGGCATGAGGAAAGTCAGCGGCTGTCTGAGCCCCCGTCCTCCTGATACGTAAGCTCCAACTGTCAGTGTCAAAGAAGAGCTCCCCACATCCAGGAGCCTGGCTGCAGAGAGCGTAGCAGTCAAACTGCTCCCTCCAAGCATCTGCAGGCAGAGCCACCAGGTCACGGACAATGTCACGCCTGAGCTTCTCAGGAGTGGCTGCAAGCTTGGGAGCCTTTGTGAATCTCTCAAGGCCTGGCACAGCAGCCACATCCACCTCCTCTACCTTTAGCACAGATAGATCACAGCAGTCCAACACTAGCAAGAAATCCTGTCTCCCATGATTCCCTGTGTCACAGCAGTACTTTGAGCTAGAGATCTCAGAATCACATTCCCAGTTGTCATGGTTACCATCGTTATCAAAGGCATCTTGATCACCTTTACCACAGACTGCACATTCATTATACCCCATCCGAGGTGAGAAGGTACTTGCATCCATCTTGGGCACATGGCAGGGTTCTGTTGTCCTAAAAGTACAGTCTTTCTCTGACTCCATTTGGATGGTGTCCTGGGAGGAAATTGCCTGTGTTTTAAATCTGTTCCCATCTCCAAAGAAAAGAACTATGGTGCCCTCAATGACTCGACTTTCAGAATCCACATCCAGATCCAGGACATAGTGCTTCACCAGCATGTGGCTGGTGTTGGCCATGAGAGGCAGATCATCCCGGGCAGGGTCCAGCTTTGTGTCCATGGCGCAGGACCTGGTTGATGGCTTTGATGAATCTTGGCCGAGGCTTCCGGTCTCTTCTACTCATTCGGCATTGCAGATGGCTGGCTCACCAAATAAGAAGCACCTGCTCTCACAAGCAGTGTTTCCACAACTTCCAGTTCCCTGGCAAAGAAAAAAAAAGGTTAGATGAAATTCCAAATAAGACCCCAAATGTCCCTGCAGCTGTAGCTCCTGCAAGTTGGCCACCTTACCTAGCAATGCCCAGGGTGGCAGATGCTCAGAGGAGAAGAAAGAAGCTTCATTACCGACCTCTACGCTACTCAGGGACACAGTCCTTGTTTCAGAAAAGAGCAATTCTTATGCAAAACTGCAACTCTTACTGCCTCGTTTTAAAATAATATTAAATGTATCAATTCTAATTTTGTGCATCAAAAGGTAAGTGGTTGTTTTTCTACTGTGATTCTAAATAACAAGTATGAATGAGGGCTAAATGGCCTCATACATTGTATTCTTTGAGAGCAATAATTTAATCCACACAATATAACTCCAGGGATTAATGTGCTTTTCACATTAGGACTCCTCTCCTATCAGCTCTTCCAGTAAATTACAGGGAAATGAGCCAATTTACCAGGAGTGCATTCTGAGTATTCCTTTGAGATTGTTCATGGAGACTTTTCAAATTTATAGTTAAATACTCAAGGTATACATTACATCTTAATAGCTGAAAACCCATTAACATTCTGGGTAATAGCTTTCTTGTGGCAAACAAAAGGTCTCATTTGGAAAAAAAGTATGCAAATATCTATAAAAGGAAGGAGAGAAATTAAAATGTAGAAGCAGATGTTGCAATACAATACACAAGTTCTTCAGAAAAGTTCTGAATCAAAATGTATTCTTACCTGATAGCAACACAGCTAAGGGGAGAGGTTTGGCATCATTTCAGACCTGACATGTACCTGATTTCCTTTAGCATGTGCTGCTTTTCTTCTACCAGACAATGGAAAACAAATGTTGGGAAAAAGTAAACCATGATGACAGAGGGGAATATCTAAATGTTTGTGTCTTAAAACCACCAAGGGAGCTTGTCAGCTCCACCTTTTGCACGATCTCCACTGAACTCAGCATCTACAAATAATAAATTGGATAAAGCTGTCAACTGCATCACTAATGGGAAACTGCTGGTATCTGGAGCAGTTAACACATACTAAATACACTAGTTTGTTGACTGGGCTTTTTTTGTGGGGAGACTTTTGAGGTAGGGTCTCATATACACTATAGCCAACCTAGAACTTTCTATGTAGTCCAGGCTGCCCTCAAATTCCCAACAATTCCTCCTGCCTCTGTCCCTGAGTGCTGGGGTCATAGGAATAAACTATCATGCCATTGTATGCTTAGACTTAAAAAAAACTTTGAAAAAACACATAAAAATAGACACAGGGTGGGGATGGGGTATGGAGGAAAGAAGAGAGAGAAATAGGGAGACAGATAGACAGAAAGAATATGGCTATACTGTCACAACTGAAGAGATGGCTTAGCATTTATTTCACAGAGACAAAGGTACTCATTAGCTGACCCCAACAGACTCACATTTATTTCTGAAAATGTATAACTTAAGAGTACACTTTGCCTACAAAGCCATTTTCCGTACTCCGGTTCATGGTGGCAAAGAATAGCGACCTTGAGAGCCCCATCTTGTCAAGCTGGCTATCAAAACCATGAGTATCAACACCAGAAGGTATTTTTCTGGTGGCCAACTATGGATGCTTCTGAAGTTTGTGAGAAGCTGGGTCTCTGCTGTACAGTCTGGCCCTGAACCCCTGCCTCAGTCTCCAAATGCTGCCACCGCTAGTGTTGGCCTCTCATCGACTTTGGCGTACTTGGCACTGGACCGGCAAGTGTTGATGGATCTGCGGGCCTCCGGCCGGTTCCCAGCCACCTGGCTAGTTTATGCCGCGAAATAACAACACACAAACTGTATTCATATAAACACTGCTTGGCCCATTAGCTCCAGCCTCCTACTGGCCAACTCTCACATCCTTATCAACCCACCTCCATTAATGTGTGTAGCACTGCGAGGTGGTGACCCACCAGGAAGATTCTAGCGTATGTCCATCTTGGGCTGGAGCTTCATCGCATCTACCCTGGAGAGGAGAGGCATGGCGTCTGCCTCACTTCCTCTTCCTCCCAGCAGTCTGTTCTGCTTACTCCACCCACCTATGTTCTAACCTATCAGGCCAAGCAGTTTCTTTATTAATTAATCAATGAAAGCAACAGATTGATATATGACACTCCCACATCAGGCAAGCCTTGGGTTTTCTTCAGCAGACTCTCCAGTGCTTTCCCTTGACACCATGCTAAGTCTTGCCTCAACCTCTCCAGTCCTACACCTGACAGCTCCTTCTTAGCTCACTACTTAAGCCCCTACTCTGCTGAAACGATCATGACTCTGAAATGCAGTCATAATTCAAAGAACTTCCAGGTCATTGTAGTTATGTCTCTTCCTAATATACAGGGAACAATATTCTTCTCAATAAAGGGACTGCTGTCCCCTTTGAACCCAACTTTGGGGACTTTTTCATAAAAATCCCAGTCCCATTGAGAATGACCGTGGAGACTAAATTTCCTGCACTGTTCCTGGAGAAAGCTGAAGGAGCCAAGGGAAAGCGGATCCCAGATGAAATGCACTCTCATGGCCACTTCCCCCAGCCAGGATGTAAGGCTGGAAGAGCAGAGCATGCTCTGTGGCCATGACTGCTGCCCGGAAGCCAAAGAGAACTGAGTGAAGCAGCCTGTGTCACGCAACGCTGTCCATCTCCCTTTGAAGTCAGCTCCAGTCAAGAGTCTCTTCCCACAAGGAAGGAAATGACAACTGGCAACCAGCACCCCTCTTTACTACAACTGTGACCCTTATTTCCTTCCATATTTTTCTCTTGCCAATATTTCTTTCCCAATAATCCCCTCCTGTTCCTGACATCAGAGCACTCTGTGGGTCCTGTTGTCTACATTGATGTACACCGTAGTAGGGATCAGACCCAGGCCTGGACACACTTCCACTGCTGACTGCATCTCCAGTTCTGTTTGCTAGTTTGACCTGTCTTTATTTCATTGAATTTTAAAAATAAAAAAAAATATTTTGGGCGCACTCAATCTAGATCTCATTTTACAACTGTAGACACAAGACTCAGAGAGGGCAGCACTTTGCACAAAGTTGGCCATCTCTCTTCTGTTTATGAGGGAGGAACTCTTCTACCTGGAATACTTGCCTCGAGGTTGCACAGAGCCTCATTTGTTCTGTCCAGATCACTAAATATCACCTATCTTTCCAGTCCATAGACTAGCAGTCAGTTCCTCTTGTCATCTTTTTTCTTTTATCTTTCTTTTTTCATTCTTTCCTGGAGGGAGGAAAGTATTTAAAGCCATCCCAGGAAGTACCAAGCACACTGTCACCTAAGCTATGTGTAATATGTACACCCACTGGACCCTGGTGCTGCCGCCTGGTTCCTACTTGTATCAGATCTGTGCATAAACTGAATCTCCCTTCTCTGGAGTACACAGAACCCGCTGGCGTCAGCTGAGGTCACGGTCCCACATTTAGGGGAAAACATGAACTCACTGTGGTTGCAAGCGCATGTCTGTGGCCACTATGAAAGGCTTTCTCAGCAAATGGTGACCATATTTCTAAGAAGTCTGTTGACTTCAGCACTTCTGACTATTGCTGTGTTCTGATTTTAAATCCTGGCCTGCCTCACTGAAGCATTTTCCACTTGCTGTCATAAGCTGTAACACAGAGGAGCCTTCCTCCCCATCAAAACCATGGTTAGCTCTCCTCGGCTACCCACTGCAGCCTCTGAAGATGAGGCGACTAATAATAAATAAATAAGAATACAAGAGCCAGGGAAGATGGGGGACCCCAAGAAAACAAGGCCTTTTAAATCAACATGATGAAAACGCACATGAACACAGAGACCCAAGCAGCAAGCACAGCGCCTGCACAGATCTGCACCAGGTCCCCAGTGTACAGATTCTAGTTTCCAGTTTAGTGTTTTTATTGTTATCTCTGAATGTGGGAATGAGTGAGTCTCTAATTCTTATGGCTTCTCTTGGGCTATTTTCCTTCAGTTTGTTTTGTCTGATTTTAATGTGCTAATTTTTATTTTATCTTATTATCCCTTGGAAGCCTGTTTTGCTTTCTGATGACGGACAGAAAGGGAGTAGATCCAGATGAGTGGAGGGGTGGAGCAGAAATGGGGAGTAGCAGAGGTAAGGGAAACCGGAAACCATAATCAGGACATATTATGTGAGAAAACATTTATTTTCAATAAAAGAAAAAATGTAAACTAAATAAAAAAAATCCAGCAAATGCTCTTAAAGACAAATGGTCAACCAGCTGAAAGACACTTTCTGGACACAATTCCTTAGATACATATGATCACAGGAACATAGCCAAATGTGATAGATTGGATGAAATTGCAGTCAGAAAGAACCTTATCCCAAATTCGTCCACACCACTTTGTGTCTAGAAGCGGGATGTTAACACTAGCAACTTCTTTCCCTCAGTAGTTTTGAAATATACGTGGATGGCCAGGTGTGGTGGTGTATGCCTGAATGTCAGTGTCCAGGAGGCTGAAGCTGCCTGAGCTCTAGGCCAGCCTTCAGTACACAGCTGACCCCATTCTCAAAGACAAAAGGTCAAACAAGATGAAGAGTGACGTGGCACATATTGCCCCTGCTGCTGTAGTGTGCCTGTGCAAATGTTCCACAGTCCAGCCTTGCACACTCCCACTTGACACCCTCAGTTTGCCCCTGCTGCTGTAGTGTGCCTGTGCAGATGTTCTACAGTCCAGCCTTGCACACTCCCACTTGACACACTCAGTTTGCCCCTGCTGCTGTAGTGTGCCTGTGCAGATGTTCCACAGTCCAGCCTTGTACACTCTCACATTTTCACCAACCCAGAGTCTACAGAGACAGTGCACACCTGCACTACAGAGACAGCGCACACCTGCACTGCACACCTGCACTACAGAGACAGCGCACACCTGCACTGCACACCTGCACTACAGAGATCAGTGCACACCTGCAGTGCACACCTGCAGTGCACACCTGTACTGCACACTTACACTTTCTGGGTCAATCACTCAAAATCCCACTGCCTGGCATAATTA